AGATTTATCCGGTACCCGAGGCCTGGAGCATGGCGATGCTAATCAAACCCTAGCATGGGGAGCTAGGATGCATCAACATCCAGCTGCTCTGATGCAAAGGATGGGCAACTTGTCTGTTGGCTCCTTGTGACCTGGATCAAAGCTAGAGGAGAACTGGTTAGTAAATGAGCAGGGGATTCTCCAAATGGTATCCGGCCCCCTTGCTTAAATTCCCTGGAGGTCCATAAACACCGGTCATGGCAACGATTGCTTAGTCCTGGCCTCGCCCATCCCTGCAAAGGACTTGCCTCTGTTACCAAAATAATCCTGTTCCAACCATGCTCATAGCTCATCCACACAAGAGCACAGGGGGTTTGCCTGCCTGGGTGGTCAGCCCACAGCCGTGCACACTTTCATACCACAGGAGAGGCTCCTATTTTAAACCAGCTCTCTACCCACATCCAACGTGGCCATCTACCATCAGGCACCCCCTGAATCAGAGGCCGAACTTGCAATGAAGGATGCGATACTCATACAATGAGCAAGGTAGCGGCGATGAGACTCAGACCGGCGGAGAGCTTCAGGGCACAAAACCAAACGTTGCCAGACGGAGGTAGGCTTAGTTGAGGACAAAGGGAGTCACTCCATTGACTTCAGTGACCGACGCGGATTCACACAACCCGGGAGAACCTGGCCCCGTTGGCTGCAGTGTGGACCTCAACAAGGCTCCTAGGTAGCGTGGCTTTTACGCTGTGAAATCCAGCCCTTGTTTTTTGGTAAGAGCTCAAGTATGCTGCTCCCCTCGGGGGCCTGCACAAGAATGTGACCGAGCTGTTTTTTCCCCTCTCCCCCTCCTGCTGTAGGTGAAGCAAAGCTGAAGGGTGGCTCGACTCTCCCTCGACGAACAGCATTCTTCCGTTCTGAAACCGGCCCGACCTTCTTCCCTTCGCCGGTCGCCCGGCCGCTGAGAGCCTGCAAACTCTGGGATGGGCACCCCCACGGCTTCATTGCCAGAGGCGGGGGGTCGGCATCCCCGGGGATTTATGCCTCTTGGTAAGCAGGGATGGGTACCTGGGGGTACAGCAGGATGGAGGGGAGGACCTGGTTTGTGCAGCATCTGAGAGCTGAGGACATTTCTACCGGTATTTTAGGAAAGCCTTGTATTTAGGGAACCAGACTGAGACTGAAGAAACCTCCACTCAGCTGCCACAGACTCCTTAAGTGCCAATGGGTAAGCCTCGTCCTTACTAGAGCATTATTCAGCTTTGCTGTATCTGCATCAACGTGGTGCAGCCCCTTAAGTATAGATGCAGATCTAACAGTATAGAGGGGGTTTTCAATAGTACAAGTATTCCCATGGGGAAACAGGAGTAATTATTTTGACATGCTCCCTATTAGGGGTTCAACCACAGGGCCGTAGGAAAGGAAGGCTGGAAAAGACCAGATGAGGTCATCTAGTTGAGTTGCCAGCTCAGGTAGGATTGTCCCTAACAAACCATCCCAGTCAAGGCTCTCTGTAACCTTCTCTTGAAAATGTCTATGGATGGAGACGCCACAGTTTCTCTAGGCAGCTTTTTCCAATGCTTGACCAGCCTCCGAGTCAGAAAGTTCCTCCTCATGTCCAACCAAATTTCCCTTGCTGCTGCGTGAGGTCATTGCTCCTAGTCCTGTCCCCTACACGTGACCATATATTTATCTAGCCACAGGGAAAAGCCCATCTCCACTGTCTCTGTAATCATGCTTTGGGCATTTGAAGACTGTCATCCCCTTCCAGTCTTCTCTTCTCCAGACTAAATACCCCTAGTTCTTTCAACCTTTGCCCAAAAGTCTTGCTTTCCAAGCCGCTCATCATTTCTGCCGCTCTACACCGCTCTCTTTTCTATGCGTCCACATCATTCTTCAAGTGTGGGGCTGAAGACTGGATTAATACTCCAGATGAGACCTCATAGGTGAATTTACACGAGACACTCACTGTGCGTAGTCTAATAATACGCGTGTCACTGCGCGTGTGTCTACAAGTGCACATTTACTATGCAGGAACCAAAATTACTGCACCGTGTGGGTGCACGTCTACCCATGCATGCCCATACTGTGCAGTAAATATGACAACTTATGCCAACTTGAGCATAAATTTGATACCTGCATCATGGTCATTCTGGATCCTGGGCCCGCCATACAGTGTCAGCAACACCGCCCAACTTGGTGGCATCTACAATTTTGCTCAGAAATTTGTCTTCAATCCCATTGTCCAGATTATTAATAAATATATTAAACAATGCTGGGCCCAGGACAGACCCTTGGGGGAACCCCACTTAATACCTCCTTCCAACTAGACATTGACCCATGGATGAGTACTCGTTGAGCACAAAGACCCAACCAATTATATATCCACCATACAGTACTTTCATCTACCTTGTATTTTCTGTCTTAATTTTTCAGGTCCACACCAGGGATATTACTGATATAATTATTTTTAAAAAATAACACTTCTGATGATAGTGGTAACACTCCGAAGGGAAACCTGACCCAAATGCCTCTGTACCTTTTCCCCCAGTACTGGAAAAGAGGGGAACCGATCCGTTCTTGGTTTATTGAGATGGCAAGCTGTTTGCTCAACATGGCACCCATAACGATGCCCTTATTTTGGTTGGAGTCTCCTGGGGCCAGATCCTTGTCCAGCCAGTTGGGCACCAATGTGGACTTAGGCATCTAAGTGCAATTCTGTTCCACCCGGGTCAAAACTCTGAAAAACTGTTAGTGGCGGGTGGTTCATCTTCTTCCGCATTGGTTTATGTGACCCAGTCTTAAGGGTCAGATGATGTGCTGGACAACAGGACCTGAAGAGGTGCACTAGAATTACACTTGGGTGCCTAAGTACACTTAGGGTGCTTTTACAGGTGCTTTGGGGGTGGGGAGGAGTGCTTTAATGAGAGCAGCTCTGGGAACTGCTCTCATTAAAGCACCCGCAGGGTCTTGTGTATTCAGCGCCCCATGCTTCAAAATAGCAGTGGGGACCCTTTAAACTAAAGCTCATTCAAGGACCTTTAGCTAATGTGCCCACGCCGCCATTTCAAAGCGTGGGGGACACTGAATACACAAGATGCAGCGGCTGATGGAGCATGCTAATTAGCATTACTCGATCAATCGAGTCTGCTCCGATGCACTGTAATGACAGTGCATTGGAGCAGCCTCCCCACACCTCTACAGGTACCCTTATATGCCTAAGTAATGGAATAGAGTTTGGCCCCTCATTGATTACTGTAATACAAATCTGTAATAAAAGCATGATTTCCCACAGATTGCTGGGATGCTTCCTGAGTAGTTTTGCAAAAAAATCAACCTAAAATAATCCAGGGCTCTTATGAATTACACAGTGGGACGAAACAGAGCACTAAGCCCCTTATTTCTCCTGATAGGAAGTATCAGGAGAACTTGTTTGACGTGAATTTATGAGGTCAATCATATTAGACAGATTTTAGGACGGTCTCCCTGCAGTGTATCCCAGAGGCTACCCTGCCCTGCTGACAGGAGGTCAATTGCTGTTGCTCTGGCATTCAGACAAGCTAATTGCACTGGGAGGAGTGTTAATCTTTGGAGGAACCTGCAACAGTGTCTTTGCTGCACAGCAAAAAGGTTTTTTCCAGGTCTGTATGATGGGTGCTATCCCACCAGCTTTTTTATCCCTTTCATGATGGTGCCAGGCCTGGTGTCTGGCCTCACCATCTCAGTGCAGGTCAGGTGCAACAGCCCCTTTGCCTACCGGCTGAATGGCCTTGGGCAACGGTCAAGCTAAGAGTCCAAGGCTGAATAAATGGGAGCAAGACTGGGCCCTAGAAGACATGTTGTTGCTGCAGAGGACAGTGAAACCACTGCTCTTGCTTTACGAGAGGTCCCCACTGACATCCAGCACAAGGCCCTGAACTACCTCTTATTCTAGCCAGCTGAAAGACTCCCTGGATTAGAACTGATGATACGTCTATTCCCAGCATGCTGCACTTTCTAAACCCGTGATCTGCTCTGAGAAGGGGGTTCTGCTAATTGGTGCAAATTTCTCATTCCTGTGCTTTTGAGTTGTCTCCCCCTGTGATATCATCAGCCATGGTACCATAAGAGACCAGCCCTACTGGGCCTGGTAGCTTTTCACAACCTGCATTGTCCTGATTATAAGTCCTCCTTTGTTTTCTTTCCACAAAACATGTCCATTTGTATGTGCCCTCTGTGCAGGGTCAACCTATAATGGACTGTTGCACGTGTCGCATTTTGGTGAATGCAATAAAAATACCAAGTTGCAAAACTCTTGAGGACTTGATCAGGGTAAACCAGAATTGCACTCAGTGATCCAAAGTGCTTTGGTATTTTTAGGCATCCAGGTTGTTGCCGTATTGGTCTAGAGGAAAATGCAATCAGGACTCATAGTAGAGATGATCTGTTTTATTAGACCAACAAGATTTTTGGAAAAGAAATTTTTTTTGCAAAAATCTTGTTGGTCTAATAAAAGATATTACTTACTACTACGACTACTATATCTACTACAAGTCCTGATTGCCTTTTAGTATTTTTAGTGCATTTAACCCTTCAAGTCCATTCCTTTGTTTTCTGATTTCCCTCTGGAGTTTTATAAGAACAATCACAATTCAAGGGCTTTATCTGCAGTTATCGACTTATATTCAGGGAAAATGCTGTTTTTCCTAAAGCGGAACCTGATAATGTAAGGCCGACTTATACGCGGGGATGGCTTATAATAGGAACAGCATGGTGTCATGTAGCCTTGGCTGGCAACCCTTTACTTGGGCATCACCCTAAGTGGCCAGGCCAATCTGCAGTTACTGTGATGGTGAGATGCAGCCTGGCAAGCAAAGGCTCAGCTCTACCAATGATAATAGCTGCTGCTCTGGCAATGCACTGTAGCTACTAGTGCTTTCCAGGTGGCTAGGCCAACTCACAACCCAAGGCTGGAGGAGACGCCAAGTTGCTATGACCCAATGAATGTCCCCTGGCCAGTGTGGAGGAGATATGTGGTTTCACTCCTCTTCCCAACGAGTGAACAGGGTGTTGATGGCCATCTCCTCGGCTAGGCCATGGACACCGTCACCTCTTACCCACATGGCTCTGCACTCACCTTTGTCCAGAACAGGCCCAAAGATGGCCAGGCTGTCATTGACCGTGGTGCAGTTCCACCGCCGCCCGCGGAATTGGTGCTGGCACTCCTGAATCCCAATCTTGACACCTTCGGCAACGCTGGGCATGATCTCCACATAGTTTCGACAGAAGCGCAGCTGTTTGGGGACTAGCCCGGGGATGCTGCCGCAGAGGATGGGCTGAGTTCCCAGGGACGAGTACTGGTGACCAATGGCCAAGGACCTGGAGGAGAAAATATAGTGACATATAGTAACCATCAGGCTGGCTCTGCTCCATGTGTTCCCTGCTTACTCTCCCAACCAAGGGGACAGGAAACCAGCCCCGTCAGCTCCTCAGGTGCTTTTTCCTCATCCACAAATGTCTCTCTCTATTTCCGGTCTCTCCCCACAGCACAATGAGCCCATCCACCCACATCGTCCCTGTCAAAGAGCTGCACCATCACTTGTCCCATGACCTAGACTCCTTCTCCTTTTTCTTTCTGGTCCTTCACAACCTTCCCTGATTAACCCCCTAGTCCATGGATCATCTAGTCACATGGTCCTGATGTTTTTGGTAACCTGAAAGGCTTGAAACTATTTTCTTTATATGTAAAAATGGAAAACCCAGCACTGTCCTGCAATAAGTGGGTTTTAGAGGGCAACTTACACACCACTTTATACCACACACCCAGAGCCAGGAAGGCTGGAGGCTTGGTTACTAGGGTCTAATATAAAACCGGACAAGCGGGTGGTGCTGTTGGAGGACAACATTGCACTCCAGGGTCCTGGGCATCATTGCCTGTTAGGGCACAGGAGAAAATATCTTACTGTTCAAACAGTGCAGCAGTGCAACACACTGCCCAAAGAAATGGGGTCATCTCCTTCACTGGAGGTTTTCAAGAGGAGGGTGGATATGCATTGGATATGAAAGTTTAGGAATAGCATTCATGCAGGGGGTTCAGCCCCATGACCCCTGAGATCAGCCCTGTGATCTGTCTGGAAGTCCGGTCTCTGATTCCTTCTGCAGGACTTGCCTGCATGGACCGGACCAGAAAGTGACTGACCACATGCATGGCCTCTGTCTGAAGTTGGCCCTGAAGATGCTGTACCAACAACCACGAAACGAAGAGGTGTCAAGACTGAGCCCGACCTGCCTTCTGCAGATGTACCAGGCACAATCAGCCTTTGCATTGACATTTGTGTCTGCAGCTGAGCTTTCCACATCGCAGGGGGGGCTGAAAGGAGGGTGAAACTGTGGTCTAATGTTCATTATGGAAAGAAGCGATCTGCAAGCAGGCCTGCTCTGTTGTCTGACCTAGGACCTGACTCTGTAATATTGATGTATGGCAATAAAACAATGCATAGGGTGCCTGCAAGATCAAGCTGAAACATCCCTTGCAGCTAACTACCCTAGAGGCAGAACTAGCTTTACTGTTGCTACTCAGTAAAACATGTAAATGGACATTTGACTTCAAGCATGTGCATACGAGCTTTGCTTCATCAGGGTGGGCTCTTGGCTTAGGTCATTCAGATGACCCCTCTCCGTCTTCCAGAAAGAAATGCAGCAAGTTTTCACTTCTTGGAAGAAAGTGGGATTGGACTTCGGAGCATTCAAAACTTTTAACCTGTTTGTAAAATCAGGCCAACCTTGTTGTGCTGATAATTTAATTGTAATGGACTCCTATGATCTCTTTATGAGGAGAGGCTGAGGGAACTGGGCCTTTTCAGTTTGGAGAAGAGAAGACGAAGAGAGGATTGAATAGCAGCCTTCACCTCCCTGCAGGGGGTTTCAAAGAGGATGGAGCTGGACTGTTCTCAGTGGGGGCAGATGACAGGACAAGGATGAACGGGCTCAAGTTGCAGCAAGAGAAGTTGAGGTTGGATATTAGGAAAAAACTTTCTCACTGGGAGGATAGTAAAGCACCAGACCAGGTTCCCCAGAGAGGTGGTGGGCTCTCCATCCTTGGCAGTTTTTAAGACCTGGCTAGACAAAGCCTTGGCTGGGATGATCTAGTGAGGGCTGGCCCTGCTGTGAGCAGGGGGCTGGACTACATGACCTCCAAGTCCCTTCCAGCTCTCTATTTCTGTGATTCTATGACCCGAAGTCTTTACACCTCTTTCATTAAACTCAAAAGGATTAACTTAAATGTAAATCCTATGTTTAATTGAAAAGAACTGCTCTCAAATGGGGGCTAATTCAGCAGAGCACTTAAGTCTGGGCTAAAATCCATCCCCGGCCGGCAAAGTCAGAACTGCACCATCTCTTCCAACCCTAGACTTCTGCAGTTAAGAGCTAAAAGTTAAACACACACTTAAGTGTTTGGCTATGCTGGGATGGCTTGCAGAATATCCATCGTTTTGGGTTAAAGCTTTTAAAACCAGATTAGGCAGGCAGGAAGGCAGAGAGAGATGTAGTGGTACAGCTTTTTAGATAGAGTAAAACTGCCCTTCGCCCCAACCTAGCTTATTAAAAATGAAGTCTAAATCTCTTTCCACCATTCACTTTCTCTCTTCATTTCCTTCCCTGTTTAAAATTAATCTTGGGTTGACAACTTAACTCACACTTATCTTTTCTACGTGCCTTTCATTTGGGAATAGCTTGCTGTGTTTGGGTTAGGGACACAGCAGAAAAATATACACTGCCCTAAAAAGCCTATCTTGCACTAAAATTAAATAAAACCCAGTGCTGCTGTCACCACCGAGTTCTGCAGTGAGCATAACCTGGCATAAAAGTTGTGTCCGACCAGGGATTCTCCGCTGGGGCGCCGCAGCACCCTGGGGTGCCTTGAGATCCTTTCAAGGGTGCCCTGGGGTGCTGTACAAAGTTAGCACAGTTAGGTGCCCAAACACTATTCACAAGATAAATGCAGAGTTTTCAAATAGGACTCCCCAGCGTCAAAACCCTTCTGCTCCGTGGCAAGCTTTCCTTGCAACAGGAGAATCTCTCTAATATTTTTCTGTAGTCAAAAAAAAAAAAAAAAAAGTGAAAATTAAGAGCTGTCATTTTCTACGGGGTGCTTCGAGTCTATCAAGGTGGAAAACCGCTGTGTTAGAGGGTGTCACGGGGAGGTTGATCCCTTAAGGGAAGAGGGGCCCAACCTGATGAATGCTTTGCTGGCAGGAGCTCTGCTGAGCTAACGAACCCCAAGAAGTAGCAAAGGTCCCTCAGGAGAGCCTGGGGTGGGAGCCAGGGAATGAAACCAGCTATGAAGTGCCTGCCAAGCCGATGGCCTGGTGAGCGGAGGACAAAGCCCCGGAGGGTGGAGAGAAGTGGAGGGCGGCAATGCCTGCTGTGCCGAGAAACGTCAACTGTTTGCTTCAGGTCTTGAGCCCTGAAGCAATGGCCTGCAAGAGATCCAGGCCTGGTGTCAACCCCTCTAGGGACAGCTTTCAAAAGGCATTAGCAAACATGTCCCGAAGCTGCCTGCTAGGCTCGTGCCTGCTGTTGTACACGACGTTAATGATACAGCCTTAAACCTAAGTCAGCGCATACCCTTGGGGACTAATGGCAGTGGATGTCCATGACAGAGGTCCAGCCCGCTACGTGCCTCATCTGGCTGTCGTTGAAGCCACAGAGTGTCTTTCCCCATTCATGGGGACATGCTGGGGGGTTTAAGAAACCAACCCCGCAGACTTAGCTTGTGAGGACAGGCCGCAATTCCCACATCTCAAGTTGTGGGATCAAGCCAGAGTAGTTGACTAGCCATAGAGTGAGATTCGGCTTGAGCTGCAACGTGAGGATGACTCTGGTGGCTTTTCCATAAAACCAGCTTTCCCGGTGCTACTTACATTCATGTTATATTGCAGGCCCTCACCGTAGTTCTGGGCTGGTCTTTAGACCTTGCTTACCCTGCACCGTTTCATTCACGAAGCAACCATTTTCCTTTGCAACACAGCAGAAGAACGACACGACTGAAGCTAGCTCCGCCATCCATAAGCCAGCCGCAGATCTCAATGTCCAGTTCCCTTTTCTAACTACCATGCTCTATCCTGCTCCCCTTCAGAGAAGAGGCCAGACCTAGTTTCTGGGGGGGAAAAAAGGTAAGATTATTTTCAACCCCCTATTTCTAAACTCATATTGCTGGAAAAAGAAGAGAAGGCTTTGGTAAAAATTGCACCCCTGGCACTAGGCCTGAGCACCACGGTTTGGAGACCTGGCTAATGGCAGTGACACCAGTAATTGTGTCTCCTGTTGTAGAGACTAGGCTGAAGTCAGACCTGGTGTGAAGTGAATCAGACTGAACCGAAACCAGACTCACTTATGCTAGAAGCGAATCTGCCCCGCTGCAGGCCAGGTCTCACTGCCTTTCTCTCTCTGACTTTTCTCCCACAGCAGAAGTGACCTCTTCTGTCCTCTTTCTCTCTCCTGACAACCTGCTTTTGTTTCCTAAATACTGACCTCACCCTGTGCCGCATCTCTCTTGAGGCTCAATCGTGCTTCCTTGACCCACACATCTCGGGGATCTTGATGCTCCTGGGTTCGGGGAGGAGCAGTCAGGCAAAGAAGATGCACACCATCCTTCCTTCCACAGCAAGCCCAAGTGACCACGGCATCAAGGGAAATGAAGGAGCTTTGGGGGGTCATGCTGTGGGAGCCAAGGGAGATAGGTTCCCCATCTCTCGAAGATTAGCAAACACCATCTCTGTCCACAGACTGTCTTATCTTCCTGCAAGAGGCCTGTGGAGGTCTCAGGGGAGCCATGAGGCTGTGGGTCAGACCCAGACCCAGACCCAGAAAGAAATGCGGTAAGTTTTCATTTCGAGTCAGCATGTGGGATTGGACTTGGGGGGGTTCAGAACATTTTGGGTGTTTGAAAGAAGAATCCCATGGAGGATTTCCTCCTGCCCTGATTTTCTCATCATCCAGGGTAAGGACTTTGGCCCATGAATCATCACACCCCCATTTGGCATCATGTAAATAGGACATCATCATGTTAACACCTCTTCCTTGCACCAAACCAGAAGGGACACAGGAAAGCTGCCAGGAAAATCTAGATCTATCCTACAGCACTGGTACAAAGCTGTCTGAGACATCATATTGCTGGTGATGAGTGAGCTTCCAGGGCCTGGGAGGGTCAGATGCAGAAAACAGTCCAAAGTTCAACTATTCAAGGACCGAATCTGGTCTTCGGCAGCATATGGATATTATGGGCAAAACAACACAGCTGTGAATGGGACTAGTCTTCTGAGGTCTCCTTGGGTGGGATGTGTGAATGGCAGATATCAGGGTGAGCTCTTTGTACA